CTGCATCCCTCTGCAAGATATCTCACTATTTTTGACTTTTCTGAGCCTGTCAAGTCCTTCTTTTGACCCATTTTGCCAAAGGAAAGGAAGTTGCCTAATAATTATGCACACCTGATATAGGGTGTTGATGTCATTAGACCACACCCCTTCTCATTACAGAGATGCACATCACCTAATATGCTTAATTGGTAGTAGGCTTTCGAGCCTATACAGCTTGGAGTAAGACAACATGCATAAAGAGGATGATGTGGTCAAAATACTCATTTGCCTAATAATTCTGCACTCCCTGTACTGCCCAGCATTTCAAATCGACAAAGAAGGTGGCACTTTAAGGTGTTGCTAGCAGTGTGGCTAGCGGTGTGGCTGGGGGTAGACTGTTCTGAGAAATTTTAGATGCCTTACTAATTTATGCAACTAAAAATTTAATTTTGAACAAAAAAATTAGACTGATTTCTAAACACATTTATTGCAGTTTAAAGATACATTACTGTGAATATTTTTGATGTGGAGCTCTGTTACACATTCACACGCCAACAATGTGGAGCTCCTAGAACAGAGGGACATTAGAGTAGAAAAGAGGTACAGAGGGATATAAACAAAATATAGGGACACTATATTGTGGATATATTTGTAAATGTGTATATAAGAGTGAGATGGATTTAGCTTAACCTAAATGAATGGTTTATAGTGGAACTGACTGTAATTAATCTGGTGACTGATTTTACTGGTTGAATTGTCTTAAAATTTGTGGCAGGTTTATTGTAAAATTCTGTTCAACTTTATTTGTAGTGACGTTTTAAAATATTAAAAGGGCACTACAGGCTCCTTCAGCTCACTGAAGTGGTCTGGGTACAGTGTCCCTATTGTTTACATTGCAGCACTAAGACAGCCCCTACTTGCTGTCTGCCAGACCACCACTAAGATGCATTTTTGGAATGTTACCGGACTTTTGGTACGTTAATGGACACTGGGCGTCCTCACACTCTACATGAGGACATCCAGCGTCCGCTAACTCCCCATAGGAAAGAATTGATTTGATGCTTTTCTTTGGGAGGAGGAGTAATGCTCGCACAGCGTTCGACACACACGTGCAATAGAGCCTCTTTGTTGAGTCATCAGCAGAGGTGGAGTCACGGTCCCTCAGCGCTGGGATAAGGTCAGTAAATAAAGGGTTTTAACCTTTTATTCACCGCGGGAGGGGGAAGGCAGAGGTAACTCTAGTGCCAGGGATACAGATTTGTGTTCTAGCACCATAGCATCCTTTTAATAACCCCTTAAGGACACATGACATGTGACATGTCATGATTCCCTTTTATTCCAAAAGTTTGGTTCTTAAGGGGTTAAGGTGACCTGTTATGTAGTACACACTACTTACACTCAAACTAAAGCATAACATTTTTTTATATAACAATTGTACTAGAGGATACAACAAATTAAAAAAAAGTCCTAATGCCATACAATATAAATGTATCTGCTAAAGTATGTATAATATTGGTTAAATACCTATGATTGGTTCACATTCACCACTTTAATAAACTGTCTAATAGTCATGGAGTCCTTACGATATTTGATTTGTCAGATCTTCAGAGTCTGCTCTGTAGTTGTTTTAACCCTATTCCATGATACGGCTTTTGAGCTCCACTCTTTGTTTAAAAGGCCAAAATAAAACTTCTAATTATTTAATATGTAAGCTTTAATCTGCATTGTTTAGTGCCAAGCAAGCATGTCATCAGATGCCAGAACAATGATTTTCCCCTTTGTTTCTTTCTCTTTAAATCACTCTCCTGAATTCTTTTCAATACTGCTGTATGACTCTTCATTCATTACTACATGTTTGGAATTGATATGACTGTCCTCCTTTAGATCAAACACACACAGCACATTCTTTAGTTTAATGAAACTAGGCCTTGACTCTTGTATACTCGAAAGCATCAAAGCTGTTGGGAGAAACATGTCACTAAAAAGTGCATCCTGCAACTTCTTTACATCAGTAATTTGCAAAGCAAGTTATTGAAACAGTTTGAGGTTAAGACCTTGTAAAATCGCTTCAGTGCTTCCTGTTGCAACAACTCACAGTTGGATTCTTTTCTCAAAGCTACCTTGATACAAGGACCCGTGTCAGTTGCATGGCATGGAAGGCAATTTACAGTAATGCAGTACTTAAGAAACTGCAGTTATTCAATGCAGGCAAATTCTGCTGTGCATTTGTCATCATAGCCTATTGCTGCATGACATGAGCTCAAATTGCATTGCAGATATTTTGGACAGGTAATGAAGTAAGTGTGTCAGGATATTGGATAAATCTCAATTTTTGTTTTCATGAGGTTTAACAAAACAGAGGTACTGCACTCATAGCCTCCTAGCAGCATTACGAATACAAAAGTTGTTCTTATTTAGATTGAAGTTTACATTTACATGTACATGAAAATAATACAGTTTATGGTTAAAATTATACTAATTGTGTTAGCAAGTGTATAGGTCACATTTTATCAGATCTATCTAGTTTTTGCATTTTATTTTGTTTTTAATTGCTGCTTATGTACCATTGACCTTTAGGTAAATTCTGCACCCATTTAGGGTGAGCTGATGTGCATGCATAACTTTCCATTTACTGTGTATGTGCTGGTAAATTTTCTGGACCCTCTCTATATGTTTTGTTATGCTCATCTGGCCCATATCCACATCTATTTGGATGACACACCACTAAAGTTTTTCGTGTGAATTCACTTATAGGAATACTCCAAGCATCACAAGGACTACAGCTCCCTCCCCACTAAGCATCACTTCCCAAATGCATTACCATTAGTGATGTCCCGAACGGTTCGCCGCGGACTCATCATTGAGTAAACTGACCCTGTACCTCACAGTCAGCAGACACATTCCAGCCAATCAGCAGCAGACCCTCCCTCCCAGACCCTCTCACCTCCTGGACAGCATCCATTTTACATTCATTGTGAAGCTGCATTTTTAGTGAGCTGTCCAGGAGGTGGGAGGGTCTGGGAGGAAGGGTCTGCTGCTGATTGGCTGGAATGTATCTGCCGACTGTGAGGTACAGGGTCAAAGTTTACTCAATGATGAGTCTGCGGCGAACCGTTCGGGACATCACTGATTACCATCTCCCAGAGTCAGAAATTCTTGAGTTGCAATTTAAAGCTTAGCACATTGGCTATTAGATGCTGCTGTGGAACTTCCAGCTCTCAGGAGATAGTAGTGTAGGCAAGTGTGGTGCCCAGTGGACACAAAGTGTGTTTAAAAAAAAAAATAAAAAAATTGTGTGTGTGTATAAATAATATATTAATAGAAACATTAAAAAGGAAACCATGAAAAATAGCTAGAGTGGCTATGGTTCCTGGCGTATTAACTCCTAAACATATGAGATTGCAGGGGCACGATATATACACCAAAATCACTTAATTAAGCAAAAGTTATTTTTGTGCTTAGATATGCCCCTTTAATAAACTGCTGTTTGTTTTTTCCCACTCTGGTTTCAAGCAAGTTTTAATTTACATGGGACAACAGTGAATATTGTGCAACAGGTGCTTACAAATGTGCAAAAAAAAAAAAAATCAAATGAATAACCCCCTCTCCTCCGCCCCCCCCCAAAAAAGAGCTACCACCTATGTGCTAACGTTTCTCACCTTTACACAACTGTATAAAACAAACAGAAGTTGGTATATGCACCCACTCCAGTCAATAGTAGAGCACTTATACTAAATTACAAAGGGCCATGTAGCCTTTGTTTTGGTGAGTAGAATTGTTCCCTTCAGGCTTTTTGCTGTAAACACTGTCTTTTCAGAGAAAATGCAGTGTTTACATTACAGCCTAGTGATTACTCCACTGGCGGCAATTTAGATGGCTGCAAAAGCTACTTCCATGGGCAGTGCTGCATAGTAAGCAGCACTACCATTCAGTGTCTCCACCCTCTGCATGCAGAACTGAACTTTCCTCTTAGAGATGCATTGATTCAATTAATCTCTCTGATGAGATGCTGATTGGCCAGGGCAGTTTTTGACTTGTACTGGCTCTGACCCTGATCTGCCTCCTTGTCCGTCTCAGCCAATCCTATGGGAAAGCATTTTGATTGGGTCAGACCACCACCTTTTATAACAGCAGGCAGGTCAGTAGCAGACAGGGGAAAAGCCAGCAGCTGGAGAGTTGAATAAAAGTAAGATTTTACTATATTTAGGGAGGCAAGAGGGGCCAGAAGGGCTAGATGATGGTTTCAACACTTTAGAGTCAGGAGTACGTTTGTGTTCTGACCCTATAGTGTTCCTTTAAGTAATATTTGTAACTTACATGTGCCCCAAATACTTGCACAATTTCTCTGCATGAGAGATACACCTTACTTTTAGTTCGTCCTTCATTGAGCTTTGCCAGTAAGGTGCAACAGATGACCCTGAGCAAGGGATTCAAGTCAGTATTACCCATTTGGATGACCCTAATCAAATTTTATAAAAGCCTAAAATGAAACACTATAATTAGCTCATAATCCTACATTGGTACTTGCTTTTTTCCCACAGGCCTGAAAGGAAGAAAAGAAAACCAGAGATTGCACAATGGAGAGCTCTTATTTACGTCTTTGTTTTAAAGTACAAGTTATCTGACTATATCTTTGACTTAATGTTGACATCTTAACCCCTTAAGACCGGAGGGCGTACAATTACGTCCTATTTTAAGCGGCTCTAAACGATGCCGGGCGTAATTGTACGCCCTCCGGTTTTTGTTTATTTACCCGGTGTGGGACCGCCGGCGATCACGGTGGGGGGGGACTCCCAGGGAGCCCCCCCGCGGCAGATCCTCCTCCTCCGGTGCCCCCTGGCCATGTGAGAGTGAGGTCCTTGCGAGGACCTTACAATCACATGGCCGGGATAGCTGGCTTCTGTATTGCCAGCAGGGGGGCTGCCTGTAATGACAGGTGGTTCCCCTGCTGGCTAGAAATAAAATTAAATTAAGTGTAAAAAAATAAAATAAATTATACTTAGATCATATATATAATTTAATATATACACCTAGACAGTGTACGTGTGTGTGTGTGTATATATACACACACACACACACACGTACACTGTCTAGGTGTATATATTAAATTACATGTAGACTGATACTGATTAAATATATATAATTATTGTTATATATATAATATAAAAAAATTAAATATGTAAATACGTAAAAGAAATAATTAAAAATTATATAGATGTGTTATTTCGTTCTAACTTTATTGTGATATTAATATATATATTTATCAAAATACAAGTAGAACGAAATAATATATCTACATACATAAATATATACGTGTATATATATCACTATATATACCTATATATAAATAAAAATATTTAAAATAGATTATATATAGATTCACATATATATATATATATATATATACACACACACATATATTAATTCTACATATATATTTATGTAATAGTTTTACATAATTAGGTATCTTAATTAATTACAATTAGCGGGACCTGCCTGACAACCCATGCTGAAAGTAAAGGGAATTTAATTTGCTAGCACTATATTTAACCCTATAACTTTCCAAGACACCATAAAACCTGTACATGGGGGGTACTGTTCTACTCGGGGGGACTTCGCTGAACACAAATATTAGTGTTTCAAAACAGTAAAATGTATTACAACGATGATATCGCTAGTAAAAGTGACGTTTTTTGCATTTTTCACGCACAAACAGCACTTACACGGACAATATTATTCCTGCGATACTTTTTACTGTTTTGAAACACAAATATTTGTGTTCAGCGAAGTCTCCCGAGTACAACAGTACCCCTCATGTACAGGTTTTATGGTGTTTTCAAAAGTTACAGCGTCAAATATAAGGCTTGCGTTTCATTTTTTTCACATTAAAATTCGCCAGATTGGTTACGGTGTCTTTGAGACTCTATGGTAGCCCAAGAATGAAAATTACCCCTATGATGGCATACCATTTGCAATAGTAGACAACCCAAGGTATTACAAACAGGGTATGTCCAGTCTTTTTTAGTAGCCACTTAGTCACAAACACTGGCCAAAATTGGCGTTTTTTTGCATTTTTCACAGAAACAGATACTAACGCTAACTTTGGCCAGTGTTTGTGACCAAATGGCTACTAAAAAAAGACTGGACATGCCCCATTTGCAATACCTTGGGTTGTCTACTATTGCAAATGGTATGCCATTATGGGTGTAAATTTCATTCCTGGGCTACTATAAAGTCCCAAAGGCAACGTAACCAATCTGGCGAATTTCAATTTCAAATGTAACGTGCTATATTTTACCCTGTAACTTCCCAAAACACCATAAAACCTGTACATAGGGGGTACTGTTTTACACGTGAGACTTTGCTGAATACAAATATGTGTATTGTATTGCTGTAAAAGCAAACAGTATTATGACCTTGACAGTTAAAATGCCATGTAGAACTAAAAAATAAAAATCATTTTTTCTCCAATTTATTTCATATTAAATTGTTTCATAGCTAAATATTTGATATTAAATGAAAGCCCTGTTTCCCCTGAATAAAATGATATATAATAAGGGTGGGTGTATTTAATATGAAAGAGGTGAATTACGGTTGGACAAACATGTAGCGCATATGTCAGGTTTTGTTTACATTTTGTTTCGTTCACAACGTGTACATTTGGCTCAGTCCTTAAGGGGTTAAATCTATTCTGAAAATGGTTACCATAGAATTTTTTGTCACTGTGCTTCTAGAAAAAAACAGCATTTGAAGTAACTTTGGGATGGTGGTTGTTCTCGTCTGTCTGTGCTTGCTTGACACAGTTCATAATTACACCTGTGTAAATCAGTAGTTGGAAGAGCCTTAACCCCTTAGCGACCGAGGACGGTTCAGGACCGTCATCGGCATTTTTGCCTTGAGGACCGATGACGGTCCTGAACTGTCCTAACGGTCTGGGGGTACTTACCTGATCGCCGTCGTTCCCCCGGCGGCGATCAGTGTTGCTCCGGTTGTGGGGAGACTGCCTGAAGCCCAGACAATCTCCCCACACTGATTTAGGACCCCTGTGGCCATGTGATCGCTTAACACAGCGATCACATGGTCACAATAGGTGTCCATAGTGCTGCCTGCAGGGGGACTGCCTGTGCTGACAGGCAGTCTCCCTGCTAGTGTAAAATAAAAAAATAAAATAAAGTTAGTGTTAATAAAAAAAATAATAATAATTATATATGTGTATATATGATATATAGACATATAATATATCTATATAATATATGTCTATATATCATCTATATAATGCCATACTAAGTGTATTTTTATATTAATATGTACTTATATTAATATAAAAATACACTTATAATTAAATTACACACGTATATATGTAATATATATAACTATATATATTGTATATATATATTATTATAAAATATAAATAAGTAATTTAAATTAAATAAAAAAAATTTATAATAAAAAAATAAAAAAAAATTATATCTATAGGAAATTTTATTCTAACTGTATTTTAAAATTAATATATATATATTTATATCAAAATACACTTAGAATGAATTTGTATATATATATCTATGTATATAAAAATAAATAAAAATAATAAGAAATATACATATGTCCATATACAAAATTACATAAATAATTATATAAATATACACGTAGACTTCAAATATATAAATATGCATATATATTTAAATTCTACGTGCGTATTTATGTAATAGTTTTACATAATTCAGTAATTTTATTGATTTAAGGGACCTGCCTGCCAACCCAGGCCGAAATTCCAGAGAATTGAATTTGCTAGCACTGTATTTTACCCTGTAACGTTCTACGACACCCTAAAACCTGTACATGGGGGGTACTGTTTTACTCGGGAGACTTCGCTGAACACAAATATTAGTGATTCAAAACAGTAAAACATATCACAGCGATGATATTGTCAGTGAAAGTGACTTTTTTTGCATTTTTCACACACAAACAGCACTTTTACTGATGATATAATTGTTGTGATACGTTTTCCAGTTTTTAAACACTAATATTTGTGTTCAGCAAAGTCTCCTGAGTAAAACAGTACCCCCCATGTACAGGTTTTATAGTATTTTTGAAAGTTACAAGGTCAAATATATGGGTCATATATTTTTACATTGAAAATGGCCAGGTTGGTTACGTTGCCTTTGAGAGCGTATGGTAGCCCAGGAATGAGAATTACCCCCATGATGGCATACCATTTGCAAAAGAAGACAACCCAAGGTATTGCAAATGGGGTATGTCCAGTCTTTTTTAGTAACCACTTGGTCACAAACACTGGCCAAAATTAGCGTTCAATTTAGTTTTTTTACTTTTTTCACACACAAACAAATATGAATGCTTACTTTGGCCAGTGTTTTCGACTAAGTGGCTACTAAAAAAGACTGGACATACCCCATATTGAATACCCTGGGTTGTCTACTTTAAAAAAAATATGTACATGTGGGGTGTTATTCAGAGATTTATGACAGATAATAGTGTTACAATGTCACTATTGATAAATTTAAAAAATTTATGTTTTGAAACCGCAATATTCTACTTGTACCTATAGCCCTATAACATGCAAAAAAAAGCAAAAAAGCATGTAAACACGGGGTATTTTTAAACTCAGGACAAAATTTTGAATCTATTTAGCAGTTTTTTTAATTCGCTTTTGTAGATGAGTAAAAGATTTTTCAAGTAAAAGTCAAAAAACATGTATTTTTTCAATTTTTCATCATATTTTTTTATTTTTTTTAAATTAAAATACATGAGATTATATAAATAATGGTATGTAAAGAAAGCCCCTTTTGTCCTGAAAAAAACAATATATAATTTGTATGGGAACAGTAAATGAGAGAGTGGAAAATTCCAGCCAAACACAAACACCACAAACACCACAAAAGTGTAAAAATATGCCTGGTCGCAAATGTACAACATCGCAAAAACAGTCCAGTCCTTAAGGGGTTAAAGGGACATTATAGTCACCAGAGCAACTACAGCTTATTTCAGTCTGGTGTCTGTAGAATCTCCCTGCAGGCTTTTTAATGTAAGAATTAACATAGTAGAATTTTAGTAGAACACAAATCCTCAAAAGTAAAACATAAATTATACAAACTAATTAAAAAAAAAAAAAAAAGTGGTAACAATTCCAAGAACATTTCAATAAGAGCATCCTTAAAAACGTACCCAATAAACCTCCCTACTCCCCCCCTTCTGTCACCCATCTGATTCCACGTTAATGTCCCTCAACGATGGTTCAGGCTCTGCCTCTGCTCCTCCCGCGCCATCAGCTGTAGCGTGTGGATGTCCAGACCAAAAGTCGATGTATGACCTGGAAGTCCTTCTAGTGGCTATCTGGTAGAAAGCCAATAGAGGTGGAGTTAACCTTCAAAGGTAATTATTGCCGTTTGTTAAAAATTGCAATAATAAAATTTTTATGGTTAAGGGTTGTTTAGCACTGCACCCAGACAACTTCAATGAGCTGAAGTGGTCTGGATGCCTACAGTGTCCTTTTAAAATAATGTTTTAATTCATTTATTTTTGGTGTACATTTTTTACTTTTGAGGACTTTCCATATCTTATCATTGTTTCATTTGTCAATATTCTAAGTAACAGCTCCTGTCCTTTTAATTTGGTTTAAGGTTTTCTAACTATTCTTTATCTAAAATTGTGTGGTGATCCTAGGGCCAATATTTTTACAGATGTTTAGTTGATGATCCTCTACTCACACTGTTTCTTTAGGTGAATATAATATGCCTTTTGACACGCATATTTAATATATTTAAGAGTTACAAGTTAACTTTTAGGAAGACCAGGTTATCTCTAGTGTAATGCAAGTATGTTTAGAACTTTTTTTCCATTATTTTTTTTTTTTTTTTTAAATAGCATCTCAAGCAAGCTTATTGCAAGGATGATGGGCAGTTTTTCTGATTAAAGGATGAACCGAAGCACCATAAACAATTTCTTTTAATGGGCTATAGTCTAATTTTTGCCATTTTGGATTTAAAATCTAGAGTTTAGTGAAGAAACCTTAGATGAATCCCAAGATAAATTATTCCTTGGGGCAGTATTAATGCCTTTTCTCTAAATTGGACATAAATAGAAATGGAAGT